ACCTCAACCAAAAATGAGGTCAACAAGGCGCCAAATTTACTTATGAATCTCTTACGTCGGAGACACTGACGTCTATGCACCTGGCCCAAATTTGGTCCTGGTCTCATGATTTGCAATATTTGATCCTCCTCAAGTCTTTAATCACACATATTATGCACACATACACTATATTATGCTAAAGATAAATGAGGATCACTCAACCCTCTTCTCGTCACAATTCCCTTCTCTATTTCTATATCTCTAATAGAATCTCCTTCTATTGATTGTCAGGTGTCTTTACATCTTTTTGTAAGGATATTTAGGTCCAAATAACACCTTTACTATTGGCTTATGTATTGTCAACCTCTAAGTAATATAATGTCTAATAAAGTATGCACCTTTGCCAATTCAATGAAAAGATCATCCACATGCCCATTGACTAAAGGAAAATATGATGAGATTTTCATATCTATTTTATAGTATTTTTGATGATATTGCACTTTAAAGAAAGGTATTTTTGATGTTTTGTTGCAGGAATGATGAATTAGGGTCATTGGAGTAAAAAGAAGCAAAAAAGATGCAAAAAGGAGTGAATTTGGAGCGAAAAGGACCAAAATGTGAAGATTTGAACTAGGACGCCGACGGCAAGCCCAACGGTGCCGACGGCGAGAATTTCCCGATAATCCAGATTTAATGATTTATAAATCCCGCTGATGACAGTGCCCTCAAGGCCGCCGACAGTGAGATCGACAGTTATGTCCAACAATACATTGGATGAGGACAAATTTTGGAGGGATGCTTAGACAGCTCTTGGGAAAACTCTTCTACAACTTTAAAAAAAGATTTTGGCTGAAAATAGAGAGGCTTCCGGGGGTGTGTTAAGTGTTGGGAGAGTGTAGAGAGTCTAATTGTGAGGTATGCTTCAAGAGATTGTAAGAGTGGAGGGAAAGTGAGAGATTTCTTCCTCCTTGCCGCTTCGAAGAAGAATTATGTGTGCTGTAAAGAAAGGAAGAGATTTAGAACAACTTCGAGGAGTTGCTTTGGGAGAAATTAGAGATAAGTGTTATTTACTTGTTGCAGTTTGTTTGACTTTGCTTTTACATATGAATTCAGAGTTTTGTTGTGTTTTTCTCATGAGTTCTGAGTAGTTTTCTCTGTCTTTCTCCTTGTCTCGAGATTGGTGAAATGGTGATTTGAATTGGCGAAGCCATGAAAATGTTTAAGAAATTGTGATGATATTTTTACTTTGATCTTAATTTACTTTCAATCTGGCCAATTGATTTGTTAAAATATGTTGAGTTTTACAACTAAAGTGAA